TCCAATGATGAAGCATGACTTTGATGCCCTTAAGAGCCCTTTGCTTCAATTGCCTACCAGGATTACGTCACCACGAGCGGAAAGTCATTACTATCTTTCGCAGTACATTACTTCTTTTATGCACTTTTCTTGCTTGGTAAGTATTAAAGGTCAACCTGCTGAGGAAAGCGCTCTCCATTGCGTTTGGCCATAAAATTAGATTCTCATGTAATTCCCTGACGCTAAGGAGATGTTGGATATGGAATGGCAACAATATCATTTATTTGAAGCAAAAGTTTCTTCCCAAAAGGGAAGAGGTAGACGAGTCCTATGCTATTTGAATGGCGGCCTTTAACTTTTCCTCAATATTTTCGCATTGAAAGGCTGTCCTCATAAGCATCATCTTTGTTTCATCCATCAGCAGAGGATCCACAGTATATGAAGTTCGTTGAATTAGCATTTTTGGGCGCTTTTTCTCTACGGCACAAATCACTGAATCATAAAAGAAAACTTACTCTCAAAACGGAGATATGGTGTTATCTTATTTGTCTACAGCGAATGATAGCCTCCTGGTCGAGAGGTTCCTCCTTCGTTGTGGAGGTATCCATGCGAGAAGCTCACGGGATGATGAAAAATGCTTATGTTCAGCCACTTTGTATAATACAAAGCGAACTTATCTCTAGTTCCAATGAGGGTAGCTGTTCTTGGAAGAAAGCATAGTCACTCTTTAAATGTTTTACTTTTTACCTCTCATTGAACTCGAAAGTAATTCAGTCCAACACTTCAGAGCATTGTTTTAAATTTAAAAGGAAAATACGTTAAAACGTTTGCCACTGCCTACTTAACTAACTGGGGACAGTGTAATTCCGCATCCATTTTCTACTCTGGCATGCCCCTCGTCCTGCCTGCAAATACTTTATCTCAAGGGATAACAATACTTGATGGACACAATAATGTATTGATTAAAACCGTGAACTATAGTGGATGCTGCATATGCTCTACGATTGAGGTAAACTAGTTAATGATCACTCCGCACAGTCTCCAACGGAAGCCTTGTTATTGGATTTGAAGAAGGATATGAACCCACGCCTACCGAAGTATACCGCTGAATATATCAGATGCATCACTGTAAAAAATGAATAAGAATTTATTTCAACGTTCAGCAATATGTAATGCGCGCTTCAGAAAAAAAGGCAGAAATATTTCAGGTCGGAAAATATTGTAAATGTGCTGAATATTGAAATATCACAAAAAATAATTTGTCTACTTCGTTTCTTCATATCTTCTGTGGCTCTTCTTCGAGATCTGCCATTCATTTGATCATTCGCTTCAGACTACATATTATCCAATGAGAGAAATTTCTCATGCTTTGCTAAGATATTAGGAGTTAAGAGACGATCGTCAAACTTCGTGCACCACGGTGTCTATTCGCAGGTCCATTCGCCCAGATTGAACTGCCATAGAAAACATTTGAAGTTCCTCTAGCACCTCAGATACTACTGCCTCCTTAGCAGACCATTCCAGGGTTCATTGTTGCAATTGTGTTGCGGTTGTCACCATCCCTGGTTCAGCCGGCTCCAATGATATTCTGAACCGCTGTTTTCCACCTCTGTGGAAACGGTCACGCGCAATGTGCTTCAAAAACTTCAGACAGTGTTTCTTTCACGATTTGTACCCTTACACTGCGGGCCGAGAGAGGACATCAGCCTCGGGTCTAAAAATGTTCCACTGGGTCTTAACTTGACATCGTCTGATGGACGTCTCAGCTGGTGTCCCAGGCAACGCAATCGCTGTTTGTTCAGAAAGTAGAGAGCCGGACGATTTTCAGGGTTTATGTTAAGCTAACAGCAGTATCTTCAGCGCTATGAATAACGCACTCCATTCCATCGTACTTGGTTGTGTTATTTGCCCCCACCACTAACTTAAGCTTTTGTCCTCTCTATGAGACCGGCCACTGAGGTTAAATTTCAGAGGTCCAGCCAGACATGCATTTGTCGGTAGTGTTTTCCACTTCTGTTCATATCTTTATCAGTCGCACATTAAAAATTACACCAGGTTCGTAGTTCTTTGACTGCTGTTTACTTTTCATTAAAAACCTGCTTCCAAATGATCTGATCGATTTCGACGCGTAAGCCGACACTCCATGCCGTAAAATGACCGGTTGGTGATCACAGCACCAGCAGATGAAGCTGCTATGTCCAAATATTTTCTAGGGATAATGAATCAAACTAAATTGTGATAAATTGTACATTTCTATTCTAAGCCGAGAAGACGACACACGCCTTCAGTAAGTTTCTTCATCTGGTTCGGGTGTAATGGAATGTTGCCTTATCCCAGTCATGATTGATTTTCCCAGTGTCGTTTTTTGCGTCAGTACACGATGGCGTTTTTCCAATGTCGTCATAACTTTTCCTCTCGTTTCGATTCCAAAAATTAATGATTACATTATTTATACAGAAAAATAAAACCTTATTTTAAGACCTTATTAGCATGCTGCTGGTTATCGTACCGCGGCTAAGATATATAATCCTTTTCACCTTTGATACCGGACTGAAGCGGCGCAACACCGTCCCCTTGCTTTAAGTGGCCTAGGGGGCCATTTAAGCTGACCACGACTCCGCGGTATTTGAGCATCTGTAGTACATGGATGCTAAACGGCATCACTAGGCAGGGCAGAACAAGGACCTGTAATAACTAATTACATTATTTACTTGGTGAGTCATCTTTCCAAATCTATATTCGCCTAACGGTAACTGTTCAGTGAGGGTTTACTGCTGATGCCGGTGTCCAATTGCTCTGTCAGGTCATATTATCGCCCAGAATGCATAAAATATGATAAAAATGTGGACCTCCTTACTCCTCGTTTAGCCGGTGTCTGACGAGAGCGAATTTCGCATATTTTACCGCCATTCACTCCTGCCTGCCTCAGTCCATAGTCGAAACGAGATTATTGAATCTTTTCATTCTGCAATAGGATGGTTCAGCTGATATTTTGTTTAATCGCTTTATCATCTTTTTCCTATGGATTTAATCAGTGCCATTCTAAGAACTTCGTATCAGGAGCACCATTTCAATGAAATACCGTGGTTCTATGCTTTCTTCTCATGCATGACAGCGGTTTCCATCTCCTTACGCTTATCTCATGCTTCTGCTTTAAGGCATATGTGCGTTATTATATATTGTGGGGACAAATATGACGCTGCAATTGGTGAATTTCCTTAAATGGATATGACTAAAAGATATATTCCAAGTGGCTGGGCGAAAAATATTCTGGTTTCAGTATTTAAGAAAGGCCTTAATACGAATCCAAACTTCTTTAATGAAGGAGAGAAATTCAAAAACCTGTTATTAGATTTTGGTCAAACGTATTAAAACATGTCATTCTGAACAGGATCAGGCATCCTTATGAGAAGATCTTGGGATACGACTGCCTGGTTCAGGTTGGTAGATAATCACAATGAGACAGCTAGTGGAAAATACGAAAGAGTAGTCTAAATTCTTTGAAATATTCGCCAATTTCATCAAAGCGTTGGCTCAATTAGGAGGAATGCTTTTCAGAAAGTTAATGAACAGCGTGTGATCATACCAAAGATCATTCGCGCAATTAAAAACACGTCTTTTCTCTCCTCAAGTGACGTACAAATTGATGATAACGTTTATACTAAGCATGAAGGAGTTTCAGCTGCTCTTCGCGATATTTCGTGACCAGGTGCTCCTGTCAATAAGAAAGAGTGATGTTCCGGCGGCTGGAGTTGACAACATTTACGTATTTTATTATCTGCATCTGCAGATGGCATCGCATTGCTTACAAACAACATCGAAGCTACGACATTACCGTTCGTAACTCAGAAACAGAGGCGTCAATATCTGTACCTCCATACTGACCTCAGACAGACGGCTCTTGACACGGACGGGATAGAAAAGACACCTGAACATCTGCATCTGGGGTGGGCGTATATTGGCTGCAGACCGATGAGAGACAAACGAAGTTAACAGGCGCTTCCTGTCGGCTTTATCAGTGAGCAAGAAGTTATTAAAGTTCTGCAGGAATAAGCTATTGTCAATGGCACTAAGATACGGACATACAGGGCTCGCATTCCAAATATTTCGCTCTATGGGCTTGAAGACGGTAGCACTTCACAAAGCTAGAAACACAAAACTGGAAGTGAAGGAAAAGAACATTATAACATTAATCTTACTGAAGTGGTACGACCTATCGTCAAAGGCTATTGCAAGAGAGAGATTGGAATAGCCGGCTAAAGTGATCGACTGCCTGCGAACAAGTCGTTTAAGAAAGGGGGTCATTATCGGCGAATGGATAATAACCGCCTTGCAAAGCGAGTACTGAACGCAAAGCCTTGTGACTAGCAGCCACCTGGGAGATCTCCATCAGTCCATCAGTACGGGAAGATCTCGATGGAATTCACACAATATTGGAAGGACTGAAGAGTGAGCACGGTGGAATGCTTGTGCGGTACCCGGCGTTGTTTTCAATGCAATGGGGTCAGAAGATGAAGAAAATTAATGAGTAGATGGGGTTACTTTCCAGAGTGGTGATCCGTCCACACTGGT